GAGAAACTTATTTTTAAATTTTTTTACCTAAAGGAGCAACCTGGGTAGCTCAGTCCGTTGGGCCTCTGACTCTTGAGTTCAGCTCACGTGGTGATCTCAGGGTTGTGGGATTGAGCACCGGATCAGACTGTGTGCTCAGCATGGAGTCTGCTTGGGATTCTTTCCCCCAATCTCTCCCCCCTGCTCTGCTCCTCCCCCTACTCACGCTCTCTCTCTCTCTCTCAAATAAATTTTTTACCTTTTAATCTATGTACAGAAAAGAGTTAACATAGCAGGGTTAACAGAGTTAACCCTCTACTGTTTGTACGAACAATACAATGAGGTTTATGCTAAGCACCTGCTTTCCTTCTGAGAGTCTGGAATTTCAGTGACTGTAGTCAGTTACACAGGCACTATGGACCTACATGACCAGCCAGTGATACAAATGCTGGAGTCTAGGCTCAAGCAGGTGTTCCTGGAAGACATTTCACACATTAACGGCAGAATAGGGTGCATCCTATGCAACTCCGCTGGGAAAGGACTCATAGAAGCTTGTGGCTGATTTACCTCCAGACTTTACCTTGAGTGCCTTTCCATTTACCGGTTTTGCTTTGTATACTTTCACTGTGATAAATCATAGCCAAAAGTACAATCACATGCTAACTCCCATGAGTCCTCCTAAGGATCCACCAAATCTGGGGAGTAATCTTGGGGACCCCTGACAAAATCTATCTATAAATGAATTAAACAATCTGAATCTATCTCAACATCTCTGCCTCTGGAATGCCATCTCATCTACTCAGGGTGCCAGAGAACACACCATTCATTTACAATAAAGCAATGAAGATATAGATTAGAGATATACTACAAGGCAAATTTACCCATTAAAATAACCTTGTCTACTAAGCAATAAGAATTAAAATGTTAATGAAGTTATCAATGAGAACAGCAAATCCATATTTTTTTCTGGCAAACAAACAAACCTGAATAATATAAAAGCACAAGTTGAAGAGTGTTCTAAAATATTTTAATAACACTAATGTGGCAGAGAAATCAAACACACAATTACAAATGAGAAAAATTGACTACATAAAACAATTTTTTTCTATTGAGAAAAACAACCTTGAAGGAAGTGAAGCTCTACACTACCCTTCCTCCAAACCCAAATCATTCTAAGAACTTACCTCCTACACATGAGCACCGGCTGATATTTAATCTCCAGATCTCTTTAAAGAAATCTGTTAGTACAGCAGGCACAACCTTAAAAGAAAGCTCAAAAGACTTCTGTGAAGGAAAAACCCTCTCTGAAGTCAGAGATATTCTCTAAAGGTACATTAATGAAATATAAAGTGAAACTAAATTATTTGATGAGTTCCCAAAGAAGAGGATCATAGGAAATACATCTCTGCTGTTTCTTAAATGATGGCAAAATAATAAATCTCAAGAATACTTTATAATCCAATTAGAAAATTAGAGAAACAAGTCATACATCATGTTGCATGTGTGCGCCATAAACTTGTGTCAACATGTTAGGGGATATCTAATGTACATTTTTTAAATTTAATTTTTTTAACTTATTTATTTGAGAGAGAAAGAACGAGTGTGAGAGAGAGCATGGGTGGGGCGGGGGGCAGAGAAAGAGGGAGAGAGAAACTTTAGCAGACTCTGCAATGAGCACAGAGCCTGGCTTGGGGCTCCATCTCACGATCCTGAGATCACCACCTGAGCTGAAACCAAGAGTTAGATGCTTAACCGACTGAACCACCCAGGCACCCCTAATGCACATTTTTTAAATGAAATGAGCTGTTGTGCAGAAAACTTGAGAAAAACATAATTTAATGCATTTTAAATTTACAGCATCCATTCAGATAGTAATTATTACAATTTAAGCAATTTAAGTTACATGTGGTAGGTTCTCCCACATTGCTCTCATTCATATAATGCCTCTTCCTTCTTCCTTTCCCCCAATATTTTCTTCCTAAAACAAGAGTTGGAGGTCCCAATTAGGTTGTGACCATGTTTTCTTATATTTTTATTCCTGGCACCGAGATCAATTCCAGGCATAGCAGGCACTTAATGCATGTTAATTACTATTGCTAAAACAAGGGGAGAGTATGGTAGGAAAATGTTGTGTGTAAATTGGACATGGAGACCTAGTCCATTACCTTTCTCTGCATCTAGAAGTGAGTTTTCCTAGAATCTCTGCCTTTGCTTCTGTCAGAGCATGCAAACCATTTTTGGCCTAAGATGAGAGTTGTTCTACATGTATGCTATGCTTGCTGACTCTCTGATAGTATTGATTCTACCTATTTTGGCCTATAGTGTTTGCCTTCTCAGTGTCTTAGATGGATTCCCTAAACTCGACACTTACAGAATTTAAACATAATTTGAGATCACTCTGGAACTAATGGCCAATCATTATAGAGACAGACATCACTGATAGAACAACTGAGATAACCCTGTCCTAATGGTAAGATCCTGCCACTGTTCTACCTGTGTTCTTCCCATTCTCATTAGATGAACATGACTGAGTAAAACTATAGCATTTAGGCCAGATAGATTGTAGCAATAAAAACTGATGCTAAGAAGTGTATGCAAAGTAGGTAATACCTCCCCAAGTCATACTAAATAGTACAATCTTGTTAACTTTGTGGTGAACTACCTCCTAAGCTGTCAAACAGAAAGTACTTTTTCTCAGGAGGATGAATCATAAACACATCCTGAATTCTGCTAATTTTCACAGTGTAACTAGATTGCTGACCTTTACCAAACATCATAAATACCCACTGGATGAGGAAATATCCTGAGTGGAAGGGAAACTTGAACTCCCTGAATTCGAGCCTTTACATTAAGGGAGGATAACATTTTGGCCTGCCTAACCTGCAGCCACAGGTACTTTAAGTCCCGAAGATTTACTGTGACTCCTCTATAATAGGTTTGAAATTTACATAGGCCACACCTACTATCCCACTAGTCTGATGGCTCTGGATTTACATGAGGAACCACACAACATCTTACAATGCTGTATTAATCAGGACTCTTGACTGCAGTCAAATCCATGTCAAATCAGGTCCAGTAAAAGCAAGATGAGGAACACATTGACTTGTGTGATTGAAGAGCTGAGGGACAGAGAACATTATATTCAACATAGTTCATCAGGAGTCACACTGCCTGGACCCCCACCTCTCAATATTGTTTTTGTGTGTTAGCGTCATTGTCTCTTAAAGCGCTGTAGGTGTCCTCCACGTAGCTGGGAAGAATGGCCATCATGACTGCTAGACTCACATTCTAGCATTGTGACTTAATGGCAGAGCCAGGTGCCCATCCAACTTCCACATAATGAGTGGCTTGGTTGGGGTCACCTGCACATTACTCACATAGTCATTATTCTCATAATATATACAATGCTACCTCTTGTAATCAGTAGAGTTCTATTATCAATAGCCCCAAGAGAACCACAGAGTGGGAATAGATGGTTCCTTTCTATGCAAGGGATGCCGAACAGCAAAAAACAATACACATTCAGTTCAAATGTCTATATCCAAACTAATTTGATAGGAATAGTTAGAGTCACTGCCAGCATCCATCCTTGTTTACTCCACTCTGGCCACATTGGCCTCCTTGCTGTTCTTCAGAAAGCCATACACACTCTCGCCTCTGAGCCTTTGCCCATATATCTGGAATGCTTCTCTCACCTCCTTCAAGTTTGCATTCAAATATCACCTGCTCAGTGAGGATCACACTAAAATGCAACACTCCTACAGCTCTACACACACACACACTCACACACACACACCCCCACCCTAGTGACTCAGCTTTGGCTTTTTCCTAAGCATTTATTATCCAATATATTCTGTGTTTTACTTAATTATTGTCTCAAGGCAATAACATGAGGACAGAAACTCTTATCTGTTTCATTTACTCACTGATATATCTCTAGCACCTAGTATAGTGCCTGGCATATAGTCGGTGCTCATTACATATTTGATGAATTAACAAATGATAGAATCTAGCAGGGGTGCCTTATCACTCAGTTAGATAATGTACATACAGTATTATACAGGGGAGTACATAATAGCACAGTACATGAATACAGTCCTCATTTATCGGCCTCCCCAGGCTTCCACAGTTTAGCAAAATACATCCTAACCTCAGTGCTGTGGAACTAGACCCAGGGTGGGATTTCCACAGTTCTCTGGGAGGAGCGATCCCCTTGGATCAATTCAAGCCTTATCTCACGTCCTTGTTATGTTTGCGCAATCCGTACGACTTAAGTAGCTGCTTGGTTTCCTAATCCACATTCCTTTTTCCCACTAGGATTTAAATCCTATTCTGAATCTAAACCCTGACACCCTGCCTAGCCAGGAGGCTAGATCTTTTGGAGAGGGTGCTACTTCACCCAGACAGACCACCTGGACCCAATATACTGCCAACCATCAGTCAGAATATCACAAGAACACAGAGAACAGTGTTGCAACATCCCATCCACCAGACTGAATCCCCTTTAATACTGATTTGGCCTGATTTTCCTGGACTTTGACAGTTCCCTCTTGGACTCTATATTCATTGCAGCTCTACAACGGAATTAGCTTTGCCTAGTGATGTGTACGTCAACAAACGTCAATGATCCGTGAGACAACCTGATACTGTGAGGAGTAAACAGGCCTGGAATCCACCAGAGCTTCATACGTTTGCTCCTTCTCGTTTGACACTTGAGGGCCACACAGCCCAGGTATGTCTTTGCACCTCTGCAAGCTGTCAAACAAACTTCCCACAGTGATACACAAGTCAAAGGCACAGTAGTCAGTCTGGGGCTGAGCGTGAGTCAACCATCAGCCCCCGAGTCCCCACCCCCACCTCCCCGTCGCGAGGAAACCGCTGCCTCGGCCTCTGTGGATTGGCAGCTCTGAGGCGCAAGCGTGTGAGGCCAGTTGAGACTACAATTCCCATCAGGCATAGCGGGAGCGGGATCACCCAGGCGCAAACCAGACCTCGGCGCGAGACCCAGCGCGGGACTTCTGGGAGAGGAAAATGACAGCACTGGGCTTGCGACTACCCACCGGCAAGCTATTGGAGCTGCCGGCGGCGCTGGGGCGCGTGAACCGAGCTTGCAGCACGTTCCAAACCTTCGCGGAAGTTCTCAGGCTGCCCACGAGACAAATGACGAAGCTCGCGTTCCCACTACAGGAACTCCAGCGGCAGCTCACACCAGACTCGAGGTTGGACCTTCACGTGAAGACCTTCGACCCGAGTCTGGAGGACATCTCCAAGGCGGAGAGCGTCTTCACGGCCACGGGCCGCAACTGCATCGAGTACCTTAGCTCCGCGGTGCGTCTCGACCACGCCCCGGACCTCCCCCACCCTGAGGTGAGAGCCACCGCTGCCCTCAGGTCGTGACCCCTCGGGCAGGCATTTTGCCGTCACCGAACGAGAGAGATTTTCTAGCTTTGTGGGGACGCATGTAATTATTTTAACTAAATAAGCATATATAGTTTATTTTGGTAATGAATGTACAAGACTATAGGATTGTAAAACCCAAACCAGTTCAAAAAATTAAATGGCTTTTTATTATCTTTTTTCTTTTTAATTAATGTAGGGGAAAACATGCCGAGATAGATGAGACAAAGTGAAGACTATGAAAAGTATAATAGTTACACAAATGTGGTGATCCTTATCAGTATGTAATTTTCACCCACGTCGTGCAAAAGAAATAATTATATATACATGGCAACAATGTAAGTTTTTTTTAAAACAACTTTAGTGAAATTTCATGAGTGTGCATGTTATGCATGTCTTATTAGAGAGCTCATTATTTGCCACTGCACCACTGCAGTGGAAGTTTTCCTTCTAATCAGAACTGCTATGATAGTTTAAATAGAACTAAGGGGTAGGTAAGTCACTTAATAATTTTGAGATAGCGTCGTGTTTTGACTGAAATTTCTGAATTACTGGACTTTTTGTGTAATTCGTTTCTTAAAATTTAGTTTTATTTGTATATTATCATTGTATTTAATCTGGCAGAGCATTTGAAATTTATGCAGGACTCAGATCAATTCATGTTGAAGGACTAACCAGAGTCTTGCCAAATATATAGCATCCCTGGCCCCACCCACTGCCACCCAGTCCTATTCATATAACCTGAGGTTATTCAAATAACCTCAATAAAAAGCCATTTAATTTAATGCCCTTCCAGATTTCCAAAACACCTCCCGGCCAGAGGGTGATACCACCTTCACCTAAAACCACTGATTGGTATTGTACCCGCTTCAATACCATGTTAAAAAGCGGAGTCATGTATATTAATGGTTATTATCAGGAACGTTATGTTCCTTTCTAAACTATAGAGGTCTAAAGGAGAAAAGCTTAATTGGAACAAGAGGTCAAGGGGAAGGAATAACCTCATAAATACAATGGTGTTACAGTCTACTCTGGGAGTTCATAGGGAAATGCAGTTTCAGACATGTAGTTGTACTTTAGAATAAGTTTTGTTGAAATGCATCTAGTTTTTAACTTCAAAAAGTTTGTAAATATGGAATGCTTAACAAATGTCCCAAATATTCTTGAGTAGCATGATGTAGTTAAAGGCACAGGTTCTGGATATAGATGTCCTGAGTTTAAATTCCAACTTCTTCCTTTTCCAGCTATATAATTTGGGGCCAGTTACTTAGCATCTCTCTACCTCTAGTTTTATCATTTGTAAAATGGGGATAATAATATTACCTACCTTATAGGGATGTTGTAAAAAGTAGATAAGAAAATTTATATTAAGTGCTTGGAAAAGTACCTGGCACTGGGAATCATTCAGTAGATAGTAGCTATATGTTAGAATTTGAGGTTCGACTAAACATAAGCCACCTTTTTACATGGCTAGGCAAGACAATAGTTTGACAGATTTTTTCAGCTAATACAACATATAATAAAAATGTATATATAAACCTAGTACTCAGTTATCTTCTTTTTCCTTGTATAAGGTGTGTTTTATAGGCAGAAGCAATGTTGGAAAATCCTCTCTAATAAAAGCCTTATTTTCACTGGCCCCAGAGGTTGAAGTCAGAGTCTCCAAGAAACCGGTATGTTGAAGGAAAGGGTTGGGGAGGTGGGATATAAAAGAAACAAAGTATATTGAAATGTAAAATATGTCTGAACTATCTCTGAATTGCCTAAAGTGACTAATTAATGTTGAGAGGTACAAGAAATCATACTTGCTAAGTTCCTAGAACAGTGATTTCTTTGAAACTAGTAGTAAAGTAAGATATTTTAATGATGCCTGTATATATATCCCTGAAGAAGAAGGAAGTATGTCTGGATTTATTTTAGCTGTCTTGCCAGTTTCTTGAGGAAATCTTTTGTCCAAATCTTTTCCAAAGAGTTGCCAAATAAAGTGTTCTATTGCCATTCTATATTTGCTTCTTTAAGAATGATCATCTAGTCCTACCCTGATTTTAGAGGCAACTGCTTTGAAGTGGCTTTTCCCTCCTATAATTTTGTATACCTTGCTAACTCCTTTCTCCCTCCCTTCCCTTACTGCCCCTTGTCTCTTAAATGCAGGTATAGAGACAGTGTATATATATTAGGCAGACCCCAGTTTACCCAGGGCCAAATTATGTGATTATCCCAGCCAGTCTGCTGTAGTAGCTTTTCTGTCATTTTTTAAATTTCCTCTACTCTTTCTCAGTGATGCAGACTACCAATATCTAAGATATGGTGTCCTTAAAACTCACCCCCAGTTCCCCTCACCTTATTATCTATCCATGGCAAAACATTCCCACCAACCTACGGTTCACTGCCCCACTTTCTTTGCATTGGAACCCTTCCATGAAGCTTCCCTAGTCTTCTCTTCCTCCCCATTTCTTCATATAGTTGATTCCCTGGCTCCATCACTGATGCTGATGACTGTAATTCATTAAATCTCCTATCCTTAGGCCTACTCTGTCTCACCAAATAACAGCTAAACTCTGATTTCTAGGTGGGGTGGGTTCCCTTCCTGCTGTGAGGAAGAAATGTATTCTTGACATTCCTAATCTGTCATTTTCCTATGGATAGACATCTCAACTGATTGGGAACCTAAGCACTGTTTTATAAAATCTTTCTTCTGAAAATATTCATTCTAAGTTCCAAAAATTGACTTTTTAAGCTGTTTATCTTAATCTTTTGTTTTCTGATTAATAGTGTCATTGGACACAAAATCATGACTTTTTGTCATCTTTACACCATTTTAGTTTAACACATATTTTATGGTGTTGTACACGCTTTTAAAAAATGGTTTAATGAAAGCACTAAACCATCTAATGAAACACGCAAAACATCTTGATAATAGGGAAGCAGTAGTCTAGGTGTCATAAACTATCAGGTTTTGCATCTTGGTTTTATGAAAACCTATATGACTGACAGTAAGTATTTTTAGTTTAACCAGTCTGTGCCATAATTTATTTCTCTTTAAAGTGGAGATATTTTATTCATCAGAGAATATTGACTAATGTAGTAACACAACAGGGTAACTTTTCACTGAAAAAGAGCTAATGAAAAGACTCCGACATATTTTGGATACATATTCCTAATCAAAAGTTCTTCTTAAGTCATATGTATGCTCTTAAAAATGAATTGGAGGGAAGAAGTATCTTCTGAGCTTATCTCCAGCCACTTCCCTTCTATATTCTTTTCCTGTATCATCATCAGCACAGCTAGGATTATATTCAGAACACTTAGGCTTTTAATAAATATTTGCTGACTGAATAAAAATATTTTGAGTCATTAAATATATAAAGGATGTATTTTAAGAAAGGTTTTATTTTTCCATTTATTTTATCAGGGGCACACAAAGAAAATGAATTTTTTCAAAGTTGGAAAATATTTTACATTGGTGGACATGCCAGGTTATGGCTATAGGGCTCCCGAAGATTTTGTTGACATGGTAGAGACCTATCTAAAAGAACGAAGGAAGTAAGGAAAATATTTTCTTATAAATTTAATCCAAAAGCATGTTTTCATTAATGGAACATTCTTTACATTATGACTCCATATTATCAAGTGACTTCTTTTAGAAAGTCCATTTTATTCTCATGATATTCTACAATACAATATTTAGGGCCAAGGTATGTACTGCTTGCTTAATTTTTTCTTGTAGATTAGCTTAATCTTAAATTCAAAAGTTTTTCTAAATTAAGAGTATAAATGTATTTCAGCAGAGTTCATTAATTTTCTTATGTCAAACTTGTGAGTGACTAATTTTGAAAATAAAAATTATTGGTTAATGTGGTATTTACTAAATTTAAATAAACCTCAGTACATTTTAAAAATACCTCTGATATCACATCCTCTGTAAATGGTATCTTTGTTGTCTCCATAGGTAGTCAAATGGCAGTTCTATGTTTCAAGCATTGCACAACATACAGAAAAATTAAATTTTTGAAATATAAAAAAGTATCTACAAGTATCTTGCTTGTTGCAGCTTTACGCAGAAACTAAGATGAAATATTTACACACAAAAAATACAAAACATAGTGTCTCTGGTTTCTCTTATCTGTTACTCTTAAAATAATATTTGAGAATTTAGACATTTTTGTGATAACTTATAGTTAATTGGGTTCATGTCTCTTTCCCCACTAGAGTTCAAGCTTTTTTTTTTTTTTTTTAAGATTTTATTTATTTGTTTGTCAAAGAGAGAAAGAGCACAAGCAGGGGGAACTGTAGGCAGAGCAGGCAGAGGGAGAAGCAGGCTCCCCGCCGAGCAAGGACCCCAATGCGGAACTCGATCCCAGGACCCTGGGATCTTGCCCTGAGCCAAAGGCAGATGTTTAACGGACTGAGCCACCCAGGTGTCCCTAGAGTTTAAGCTTTTAAAGGAGGGGACTCACTCATCTTTGTGTCCAGCCCTAGGCAGAAGATCTTAGGTCCAATACTTACTGTTGAAATAAATTAATATTTAGTAAAATTAGTTATTGAAAATATTGAAATTGAGATTTATTGGATTGTAGGATGAACTTCTAGTAAACTGAGAATTCCTTTTGCCTAAAAAATTTTTAAATTTTGGAGTGAAAATTATTCAAAAGAAAATTTCTCAGGATAGTGAGGGTCAGGGGGAGAAATGAATGAGTATATTTGATATTGTCTTTAATTTTTATTTCTGCATTCTTATAGTTTGATGAGAACATTTTTGTTAGTGGATAGTGTTGTCGGAATTCAAAAAACCGACAGTATTGCCATAGGAATGTGTGAAGAATTTGCATTACCTTATGTGGTAAGTATTTCTTTTGAATCATGGTTGCTGTTGGAAATACCAGTTTGTGTGTATGCATGTGTACATGCTTGTGTGGGTGTGTCTTTTTAGTGAGAGAGCAGGTCTTGTCTCGGCAAGAGTAGTTCTCAAATAATCTTTTTGATTATCAGCCATTAGTAGATAAGTTCTGTGGTATTTATATTCTTTTTCTTTCTCTCAGCTTAAATTTTCAAAATTATAGTCAAAGTAAAGTATTTTTAAGCTATTCATTTAGTGTTCCTAAGTGCTTTTCCCTTTCACTTTTTTTTAATGGCAATATAAAATTTGTCTAAAACATATTAGTGGCTCTTTAACAGCAGTTTGGCATATACTACTTATATCAAAGTGTAAATGAAATTGCAACTGAAAAATTTGCTAAAGTAATTTGTAGTTTAAGAACCATTGCAAGAAAATAGCGGGCTCCAGCACACACAGGTAAGATTTTTACATTCTTTAAGAAAACAATATTTCTTCTGGGAATATCTTACCAGTATTTTTTTCTGTTGTTTGTCTTAGAATAGAATACAAATTAGTAGGTTGGTATCCACATTTACTTTGCTTTGTGAGTTTTCCAGATAAAATAGCACTCCAAAGTTCCTTTCTAAGGAAAAGAATCCATTGACTATAATTTGGTTTCAAAAAAAAGGAAACCACTAAAATGTAACAGTGAAGTTTAATGCAAATCAAACCATGTTACTAATCAGCTAAGTTTTTGTATTCTTCGGATTATGGAATTTTGGGGGTTTGCAAAAGCCCTGTGAAGCATAAGCTATAACTGCAGTTAGTATGAGAAGCCAAAGGTTTGATTATAGTCCACATAGTAGAAAATACCCAATAGTGATTTTAAGTGATACAGTACTCCTGATTTGGTATCATAGGTACCAATTTGTAAAATTGTATATTTTCCTCAGTTTCAAAGGAAATACTACTTTCTTCTTTGGAAAGAGGTTGTGATAGAGGAATTATGTCTCCTTTTAAATATCAGCATATTTGCTCTTATGAGGAAAGACTCCCAATTGGAGGGACTCACAGGTCATTAGAAACCACACACTTTCTGCTTCTCACTCCTTTTACCATTAACATTTTTTATAACTGAAAAGCATAAATGATTAGTCAGGAAATTTAATTTTATAGAAATTCCCCAGGAAAATTGAAGGTCAAAGTTTTACTTTTTAATTGATTTTGTAATCATTCCTATAATTGTAGTGGATATAAGATACAAATAGCCTGATTTCTAGTTTGTCCTTTATATTATTACATATAAGGCAGAACCATTTTGTAGGTCAAAAATGATTATAAGTTGGCAATTTTATATGGATCAACCTAATAAAATTATGTGTCTTAGTTAACATAAGATATATAGTGACATATGAAATTTGTTTTATGTCAATTGCAAATATGGCTCAAGGGTCCTTTTCACTAGTCTTGAATCTAAGATATGTTGGCCCTGTGTAGTTAAAGCACCATTAAACAGCAAACACGTAGTATATGCTTTATACATTGCATACATTAATTCATTTAATCTTCATGGTAACTCCTTTTGGGAATGTTGCTTTTATTTTGTAGATGAAAAAATAAGTATAGAGAGATTAAGAAACTTACAAGGATCATCTAGTTGTTATTAAACATGTATAGCTAGGGGCGCCTGGGTGATGTAGTTGGTTAAGCATCCGACTCTTGGTTTCAGCTCAGGTCATGATCTTGGGGTTGTGGGATTGAGCCCTGCATGGGGCTCCATGCTTAGCCAGCGTCTGCTAAGGTTTCTCTCTCCCTCTCCCTCCCCACCCCACCCCCCGCCGTGCACTCATTCTCTCTCTAGAATAAGTAAATCTTTTTTTTTTTAAAGATTTTATTTATTTATTTGAGAGAGAGAGAGAATGAGAGATAGAAAGCACGAGAGGGAAGAGGGTCAGAGGGAGAAGCAGACTCCCTGCTGAGCAGGAAGCCCGATGTGGGACTCGATCCCGGGACTCCAGGATCATGACCTGAGCCGAAGGCAGTTGCTTAACCAACTGAGCCACCCAGGCGCCCCTAGAATAAATAAATCTTTAAAAACAAATTGTAGTTAAAATGTATAAAACTGTATATTAAAAAAGACTTAATTTCTAATGCTTAAGTATTTGTTTTCTTACAGATGGTATTAACAAAAATTGACAAATCTTCCAGGGGACATCTTTTAAAACAAGTGCTTCAGATCCAGAAATTTGTTGACACTGAAACACAAGGATGTTTTCCTCAGTTGTTTCCTGTAAGGTAAGAGTTGAATTATTTTATAACTTTATGTACTAACATCCTTTAGTATTATATAGTGTTTCTTAAATTGAGGTATCACTTAAAATAAGAGGAGTTTGGAAGACTATGCATTAACCATGATTTATTGGTACAACCCATCAGCACTTTTATTTTTTTCTTCCTTCTATTTTGTCTTCCTTCTGCAGGCTCTTGCTGGATCTTCCCTGCAGCCTAGCTCAATCCTAGATCTCAGCAGAAGTGAAAACTTTTTACTTTTTAAAATCAGCTAAATAACAGCCACAATAAAGATACTACCATGCTTTTCTCAATTTCAAAGAAAAATTATCTTTATAGTAGAAAGCTCATTCAGGATGTGAGGGATAAAAATTTTTCTTTAAAAGGACCAAATATAAAGAAATGCTTCTTATAAGTTAGAATTAAGCATTGGTAGAGACAGAATGATTATTTCTAGAGCTGGCAATTTTGAGATATTTGATAGAGTTTAGTGATGAAACATGAGTCTATACTTTTAGCTTATACCTTGGATAAGGTAAGTACCTTGTACTAGAGCAGAGATATAGTGCCATTCCCATAGGATTTTCTTACTCTAACTTCTTTGAGGAAAGCAATATGGTATTTGCTATGAGAAATAATTAAACCAAGTAACAGTTGTATATGAAACTATCCCCTAATCAGTCATTCAAGGTCCTACCAATCCAGATCACATTTAAATTGTTTGTAATTATGAACATGCCTGTCAGAATCCTTCTTTCAGTCATTCCTACAAAATGCTCTTCTCCCTTGACTTTCATTCAAGTATTTATCCTGTTCATTTGTCTGTGTCCCATCTATATATTAGAGACTCCTAGGGGCAGGAATGAAATCCTACTTCTTAGAGCCCTGAGCATTGTCATGGAAGAATAGCTGTTTCTTTTAACTGTTTAATAAGAAGGAAGTGAGACCGTCACTAAAAATGCAGCACAAACATAAGATGGACAGAGGACTGTGGCTTAACAGTAGCATTTATTGGGGAAAAAATTAATCTTTAGTTGACTATCAGCTGAATTTGAATTAACAGTTTAATGGGGCAGGGGAAAAACTGACAATGTTTTCTTGACCTACATTAATAGAATTATAGTGTTCCAAAAAAGGGAATGATCTAGCAGTAGTTCCACACAGCTTTGAGCCACATGCCATCAGATCAGTCAGGTTAGACGGTGGCTCGACATTAAGAACAACTAGAGCTATCTGAAAACAGATGGTCTTGGGAAAGGTTACATCATTCATAACACTTACCTGGTCCTCACAGTAAACATCCCTATTTCCAGCTACGGTTATAGGTCAAGGAAATGAAATAAGTTGCAGAGAGGTATTTGTTTAAATAGAAAGAGCGTGGGCTTTGGGGTCAGATGGCCTTGATTTTGCATGGTTCTTCTACTTCTTGGCTATAGATTTTAAAGCAACTTATTTCATTTTCTGTGTCTGTTTTCTCACTAGTAAAAATATGATTGTTAGAAGGATCAAATAAAATGGATGTACACACAGACACATCATAAATGTTAGCTTCCTTTCTTGCCAAGTCAGTAAGTAGCAGGGTTAGGCCAACAACCCAGAGTATCAGATTCTCAGTACTTTTTAAAGATATTCCCTTCTTTAGATATGTCAGCATTCTCTGCTGTATGACCCTGGAATCACTGCTGCCATTGTACTTGCCATAAGTGACCAAGGCACTTGAGATGCAGGAGCCTGGTGACTTTCAAGAACTTCAACATTCATTGTATATAGTGACCACATACAGGAATTTGGCAGACTGGACTTTGTAGCTCTCAAAACCCAATTCGAAAGTAGAGTTATATACATTCCTTGGCTTTATGTGCATGACCAAGTACTAGTCTATCCCGCCAGAAAGAAGTTTGGCCTATTCATGAAATAATTATGATAAAATAAGGTTTTATTTCCTTCTCTTCCTATGATCCTGATAGGAGAAAGGTGGAAGTATAGTCCAGCAAGCTTTGGCCTTTAAGGCTTTGGCAAAAGTTAAATGCTGAACTTCATGTCAGAACTCTGCCCCAGCTGAGTAGAGATGTGTAAATGGTGAAAAGCCCCTAAAAATTGATGCTGGGATCAGTCTGTCTTTATAACTGTCATGGGAGAAATATGTAAGTAGGTACAGTATAATTGCTTTTTATATAGTGGAATTCCAAGCAAAGACAATGGACTCTAAGGACAAAGAAAATCACATTACAACATTGACAGAAATGTTGCAAATGAGTTCAAGATGCCATAATTAATGTGTGGACAATCCAACTTGTATTTCTCCTTTAAACTATGTAATTTCACTTATAACCCAGAAATCATTATGGGCTGTTCTCAAGCAAGCAGCTTTGGTCAAAAAGTCTAAAATGCTGTATTTTATCAAGAAGGGAATTAGGAGTACAGCAGAAAATATTTTACCTGTTTTATATGCAGGTATATACGATTCTTGTATCCATAAAAATCATAGTGTATTCATAAAAGTCCATGTAGCCTGAGAAACCATGTGGTCACTTCCAGCTGACAAATGGATGGATGCATATGGATGGATATAGTAAGATGAATAGACACAATAATGGTGATGATGATTTTTTAAAATGACGAAAAAAGGTCTAAATTATCAAGGTTGTTGAATCTTTGTCACAAGAAGAATAAACTAAAGAAATCAAAACTTTTAGTCTAGGAAATAAAATGCAAAATAGAAGATATTCCAATAGCATTTTTCACAGAAATAGAACAATCTTAAAATTTGTATGGAACTACCAAAGACCACAAATAACCAAAGCAATCTTGAGAAAGAACAAAGCTGAAGGTATCATGGTCCCTGATTTCAAACAATATGTTGTAAAATTACAGTAATCAAAAAGGTATGGTACTGGCATAAAAAAAGACACATAGATCAATGGAACAGAATAGAGAGGCCAGAAATAATCCCACACATATATGGTCACTATGACAAAGAAGCCAAGAATATACATTCGGAAGAGGGCAGTGTCTTCAATATCTGGTGTTGGCAAAACAGGAAAGCTACATGCAAAAGAATGAAACTTAGATTACTGTTTTACATTATACATAAAAATTAACTCAAAATGGATTAAGGACTGGAATGTAAGGCCTGAAGCCATAAAACTCCTAGAAGAAAACATAGGCCCTTAACATCAGACTTGGCAATGATTTTTTGGATTTGACACCAAAAGCAAAGGCAACAATAGCAAAAATAAACACAAGGGACTACAGTGAACTGTAAAAAAGCTTCTGCACAGCAAAGGAAACCATCCACAAAATGAATAGGCAACTTCCTGAATGAAAGTATTTGCAAATCATGTATCTGATAGGGGCTAATATCTGAAATACATAACTCCTAAAACTTAATAGCAAAAAAAAAAGAAATGATTAAAAAATGGGCAGAGGATGTGAATAGACATTTTTCTGAAGAATGCACACACATGGCCAACTGGAAAAGATGAAAACATGAAAAGATGCTCAGCATCACTAACCATCAGGGAAATGCAAATCAAAACCACCACAATGAGATACCACCTCACACCTATTGGAATGGCTATTATCAAAAAGGCAAAAAAAAAAAAAAAAGGCAAGAAATAACTAGCATTGGTGAGAATGTGGAGAAAAGGGAACCCTTGTACACGGTTGGGAATGAAATTAGTGCAGACTCTATGAAAAACAGTATGAGGTTCTTCAAAAAATTGAAAATAGAACTACCATATGATCCCAAAATACCACTTATAGGTATTTATCTGAAGAAAACAAAAACACTAATTTAAAAAGATACCTGCACCCCCACATTCACTGCAGCATTATTTACAATGGTCAAGATATGGAAACAGCCTAACTGTCCATTGATAGGTGAATGGACAAAGAAAGTGTGGATATATATACACAATGGAATACAATTCAGCCATAAGAAAGAATGAAATCTTGCCATTTGTGACAACATGGGTGGATTTTGAGGGGATTATACTGAGTGAAGATTCAAGCAGAAAAGACAAATACCATATGATCTCACTTATATGTGGAATTTGAAAAACAACAAAAAAGCAAAATCATAGATACAGAGATTGGTGGTGGTTAGAGGTGGAGGTTGGGGGATAGGAGATATGGGTGATGGGGATCAAAAGGTACAAACTTCCAGTTATAAAATAATCAAGTCATTGAGATATACAGCATGGTGACAGTTATACTGTATTGCATATTTGAAAGTTGCTGAGAGCAGATCTTAAAAGTCCTCATCACAAGAAAAGGAAAAATTATAATTATGCCTGATGACAGATGTTAACTAGACTTTACTGCTATCATTTTACAATGTATACAAGTATCTAATCATTATGTTGTACAACTGAAGCTAATGTTACGGGTCAATTATACCTCAATTAAAAAAAAAAAACTTAGTCTGGTTAATAAAAGGCAAAGGAGTAGATTTGGTGAAATTTTTGGGATCCTGAAGGAAATTGATCAGATAATGTGGATCATCAGATTTCGAATACAAGAGGCTGGCGGAAGAGAGGAAAGGTAGAACAAATTAAGACATTCAGTTTCATACGTGGAACTCAAGAGTTTTTAAGCAGTTTTTAAGTTAGATGAATTCAGATATGTTACTATATCTGAAGTAAAGAAGAAAATTTTTCTTTTCTTTTCACAGTTCTGTGACCTATTCTGGAATCCATCTGTTGAGATGCTTTATAGCGAATATAACAGGAAATCTTAAGACTAATGGCCTCTAGTTTAGCTGAAGATTCAAAATTCTTTTTGCCAACTGGAGTTGAACATATAGAATTTCAACATTGTTTTAAATGTTGTGTATCTATAATTTGCAGAAGGATAATTTCATATTTAAAACCTGCATCTTCCCAAAGCAAGAATGAATTTGTGCTGGGGAAAAAAAAGTTTATAAATAAATTATCCAGTTCATTAGAACAGATACTGTTCCTATTTTAACAGTGTTTCTATTTTAACATACTGACAAACAAGAGCATATAGAAGTCCATTATGTGAAAACCTATTTACTACTATGTAGAGAAGGATTCGCCCTGTTTTTATTGGGCTTTTGTCTTTTAAAGACAATGTCTATTATGTATATTTAAGTATTAAAATGGACTAGGTAAAAAAGGGGCTACTTTTCTGTTAAGCATTTATAGGTAGATGGAAGATAAATGCTTCTCTCTATGCCTATAATTTATCTTTTTTTCTGAGTCCTTATTTGAATATAAAAAAAAATATTCTTGATAAAAGTTCAGTCAGTCCATGCTGGAAACATCAGTCATTTCAGACTGGGATCATTCACCTTCAAGTGAACACAGGATTTAGAATCAGAAGACCAGAATTTAAGTTCCAGTTCTAATATTTATTATATTCGGTCTTGGGCAAATTACTTGATTTCTCTGCCCTTCATTTATAACTCACAAAGCTTATAGAAGTTAAAATAGTATTGTATGTGTAAAAGATATCTGTATACTCTATATTTTTGTAAAGTGAAACCAACCAAGAATACAGCAAAATTCAGATTTATCACAGAAAACCTCTTGTTATAGAGGTGGTAACATTTTCTCTAGTGAAAGACAAAAACCAAGAACTAGTTTTAAGTGAGAACACTGATATTTGCAAAAAGCAGGAGAAAAAAGTTGATGGACCAGTTTAGAATTGTACAATAAGATTCAGAATGGAAAGATAAAGCCTTACTTTGAGCTAAAGTTAACAGAAAAGATTTTTATGAAGATGCTACTGACCTATTCATGCAAGTGGCTTAGCTTTTCAAAGTGAGGCTGAATACTAAAAAATTATAGCAGTAGCCCTGGATAAAAACTTAAGGCTATAAAACAAGTTTGTGGCTTTTTTAGGGAATTCGATTATGTTTATGTTTCCAGCTTTATAGTTGATAGCCCTGGTCTATTCTAACCAGCAGTGTTTTAAAAAATAAATAAACAAAAAACTTTATGAGGTATTCACAAAGTAAAATATATGGTTACAATAGAGTAATCTTAGAAGTCATCATTTTGCTTGCCAGTGTTACTTTACTGCTTGTCTTAGCCGTGGTTCTTCTCAGAGCAGAGCCCAAAACAGAGGTTTGCATGCAGTCGTTTATTTGGGAAGTGATCCCAGGGTACAGGAGTGATGGAGAAAGGAAACAGAAGAAAGGAAAGTCAATCAAGGATGCAGGAGTTGGACATCACATAGGTACTAGTCTTGATCTTGAGGGACCTTCTGGGGAGCCTTAGGAAATGTGCCTCTGGGTTGTCTTTGAAGTAGGGAGAAGGTGGCTCCACACTTCTTCCAGCTTGTGCATGCCTAAGTGCCAAGCAGTTCCTGCAACTTGTCAGAAGGAGCAGGAAGGGAGAGGTCTCTGGAACAGGAGGCAAAGTGCAGTTGTCCACTCCTATTGGAAACTGGTTGCTACAGGTGTGGCTGAACTAAGGCCAAGAGGATTTGGCATGGGAGGTCTCACCACAGTGCTCTTACGAATGACCTGTTTTAATGCTACCAGAGCAGTAAAATTGGTATTCACTATGATGACACTAACAGTTTTTTTTTTTTTCTTTTTTGGCGAGGGGGAGGGGGCGCAGAGGGAGAGGGAAAAAAAGAGAACCTTAAGCAGTTCCACATTCAGCTCGGAGCCCACTGTGGGGCTCAATCTCACAACCCTGAGATAATGACCTGAGCTGAAATCAAGAATTGCATGCTTAACCAAATGAGCCACCCAGGCTATTTATTAAGGACTTTGAAGTAAATCAGGATGTTTAGCAAGGTTTCAGAAAGAAGGAAGCCATGCCCTGGCTGTGTTTATCAGTCTCTTCAGAAGGTAATCTGCATTTTAAACAACGCACCAAGTGATTCTCAAAACAGCCTAAGGTATCAGAACCACCAGTATAGATAAGTGGGAAAATCATGCAACTCTTGATTTCAGCTCAGGTCATTATCTCAGAAAGAACAAGGCCAGATAAAGAATGGAACGGAAATAGATTAAGGATGGCCAAGGAAAACAAGGGTGTGGTATATACTGTTTTATTTTTCTATATATCTACATATAACATAAAACTTACGGCTACAACCTTCTTAACAAATAGAAGCTTACTGACCTAATTCTAGTAAACTAGAATATTTTAAAATATGTAAGATTTACCCTCTGAGCAATGGTACAAACAATATAAAAATACCAGATGACAGCATCAGCATTAAATTATAGATTTATGTGTGGCCTTACTCCTGGGTCTATTTTGTGTCAACTAAGCTATATTTTTTTATTTAACTTTATCTACTTCTACTTTGTTATCCTGTTTGTATATCATGTATAACCACATGTCACTTTACATCCTTTCTGGAAAAAAAGTTTATTTGGAATCAGTCACTAGCACCCAAATAAATAAACCAGAAAAAACCCCAAAAGCTTTTGGAGAACTCCAAAAGCATTTTAATATGCCCTCCTGTGAGATAAGGTAAACAAATGAAGTGAAATATGGTAGTGACCAGTCCCTGAGAATACAGTTAGTGGCAAAACTTTTGTTTTGTATTTGCCACTTGTGATGATCAATTCTAATTTATAATCAAGACAGCACAACCAGTAGAAGCTACAAATCTTGGTTTTTGGAGATGGGCTTATCTACAATGGAGCCAGTTAAGACCAAAGTGACCTTTTAAGCACTCCTTGATACTTCTAACCCCACCTGACTCCCCATATACCCTAAGACACAGAGTAGGTTTTTATAAACCTAATTACTCAGTTCTTAATTCCCTGGTAAATCATAAAATTATTCTGTTTTTCAGGGACAGCTGTTTCACAGCTTTAATCAAGGAATTATATCTGCTTTTCAAGGACAGGATATGGTAGATTTTTTTCATCTTAACACCTGGTACAAAGTCAAAATCTGACTATTTAATATTCAAATACTTGTCAGTTAAATGACACAGAGCTACTATAAATGTTTATTGAACTGAAATGAACTGCTGTACAATGTTACACTAAGGTAGCTCATCTCTGAGTCCCAAGTGGTACTTCCAAGTCTTTCCAGATTTTTTTTCAGCAGTTCCACATAAAACAGCAGGACACTGGACCAGTTTGTTAAGCACTTAAATGTCTCACAAATGAGCATCTAAACTCCCATTAGAGCAAAAATATCATCAATGTCATCTGTCTCCTTAATGGTTCCTGATGTATTATGTTTGTTCATTTGCATCACTGTCCATGAATCAGTTTCATTTTCATTGCTTCCTGTAAGGTTTTCATGAATTTGTTTCTCTTTAGTTTGTATGGCAGGATTTGAAACTCTGCTACTCAAGAGGTGATTACTGTTAGGGGAGAGATCAGTTCTATGAACTGTACAGTGCGAGAGTCTCCATTTACTACTATCTGTAGCATTCTGAGTCCCTTGAGGGGATGGCTGAATTGCCTCTGAAAGAGTCAACTGCAGCTTTCTCTGTAGTTTCCTCTGTTCCAGTAAAAATCTATTCTGAGATCTTCTTCGGCTCACATGATGCTTTGAAGTTTTGATTCCTGCGCCACGAAGAAGGCAGTTGCAAATAGATGTTTTTATGCATTCTAGTTTCTTCGGCAAACTTTAAAGGACAAGAGAAAGGAAAAATCTGGCATTAAGACACAAAGACATTTTCAAAAACTTTTGTCTCCTTTTTACCAACTCCCAAAAGAAAAGTACACAATTTATTTACAAGTCCTATGCCTGTGTACAACCCCAGAATTATCACAAGAAATATGAAAATAGGAGCTTCAACCCAAATCTGTGTTTTCAGAGCAGAGCTTCCCTTTGATTCAGACTAGCCAAGTATGTCCCCATTATGTTCCCAAAGTAAAGTACCTCCTACAACTGCCTGGCAAGGTAGCTGAATGGTGAGATACCTGCACACTTTAGTGTCAGAGCCTCTCCCTGATAACCGCTAAACTGTCCATAGTGTAATAGGAGTGGACTGGGGAAAGGATATATCACAAAGAGAACCATCTGCCTGGATGCATTAATCCATATCTGGATAAACAACTTCATGTTTATCAGGGAGTGAACAAAGGAAAAGAAATCAAGGTGAGGGAGGGAATTTATCTAAGAATGAGAAGACAGAGCTTCTGGCATAGACCACCTGACACCTTGGGCTGCCCTAATCGTGATTCATATATCTTCCTCAAGTGTGGGAATTCAGAACTCAAATAGCTGATCATTTTAGGTGTTCTGCTTCTGAATAAGGTATACTGCGACAAGGTACATCAGTACCTTGCTAACTGCCTCACTGTTTGTGACAGATTTCAAAAGATTTGCATGGGCCTGTAACTTCTACCCCCTCACTCTCCCCTTTTCCTTTTTAAATAAATACATAACTTTGAGGAAACTCCTTTATAATGTAGTAATTCAAGATCAGTTTCATACCCTTTTCTTGTTTACTCTAAGTGGTGATTTTTAAGTGGGGAGAGGGTAAGTGTACCTCCTAATTGAAATGGAAATAGAAAAAAATGAAAACAGAAGAATCAGAAGATCTGAATTGAATTCTGGATCTCCAGCTGTAACAATCTGAGCAAAATTCCCTATGTCCTCAGCTACAAAATGGGAATAATACTGCCTACCTCAGAGAGTTATCATGGACATTAAGCAAATTTAAAATGTACTGTAAGTATAACATATTGAAACAGCAAAACAGGGCAGTACGAAAGAACAGTTATTTTTGTGGGGAAGGGAGTAATGGTTTAACCAAATACCACTTTGTTACCCTTCTCACTAACTCTTAATTATTGTTATCTCTGTCTCATCTACCCCTTTTCCATCTTGGGCTGAGTTCCCACCCTAGAATAGTTCCTTTTTAGATGGCTACAGGTCTTTAAAGGACCCTAATGTAGAAACCCTTCCAACAATTCATTTCTTAGGAATACTTAACAACTTCTCCCATAACTCTTAATCAAAACTTGTTTTTGTTGACCTTTACAGCCATTTGTGTCTAAAATTGTTACCATGGGCATCTATTAGTTTCTCAATAAAAATATAAAAACCTAAAGTGTCTAACTTCATTGTAATGCTTCAAGTAATACTGGCTCACAATCAAAGAAAACCATCCTTAAGCAGTTCTGTGATTCTAAGAATCAGAGGAAAAGGAAGAAATCAATACATGGGGAGTCTGGCACCCATGAACAATCATTACTTGACCCTAAGCCCAGAGTCTGGTGTGTGTCCTTAAAAGAGGCAGACCCTTCTGCTTTCACACCCTCATCCTGCTACCCTGAAGCTGTGGGCAGACTGGCTGTCTCTCCTACTAGAGCAAGAGTGAAGAGTTAGTGCTCCATGAGGATTAAGTCTTACACAATGTATCCCCAGGCTTAGCATACCACAAACACTCCTAAGGCTTTCTGAATGAACAAATGGAATGGTGAAGAACATAAATGAATAAATCCAATTAACCAAGTTAACTTTCTTCTTCCCAGTGATACAGCTGTGCCCAACAAAGGCAAACAAAAGTGCAGTTTGAATAGATCCTTCTTTTAGCCCCCCTAGGGCTACTGGCCATCCCATTTTTTAAAAAGCTGACTTGTATATACTTTTGCCCTATACAACAGAAAAAGTAAAGGAATATAATTCTTATTATATACCTACCTATAGCCTTGAGCTTCCACATGTTTAAGCCGGTTACTTTTAAGAAGTTTGTTACCAAGAAAGGAGGCCTGAGCCTTGAGTTTTTTGCTCCTGCACCACAAAATTGCTGTTTGGATTTCTTCAGAAAGTTGAGTGAAACTCTCAGCCTCTCGAAATCTTTGCACAAAACTTTTGGCACAGGGAGTTCCTGTTGCTTTCTGAGAAGAACGTTTGGTTGCCTTTACTTTGGACTGAGAACATTTAAAGTTGGTCTCCTGAAACATGGAAAGGTGAGAAAAATATATTGGATTTGGTACTGATGTGTAAATATATAACAACAGAAAAGTTGACTCACTGACTATGAAAATTAGAAAATGTCTTTTTAAAAAAGAAAGGTTTTTTAAAGCTCACTGTGCTTTCCTTTGTATTAAAAAACTTAACGAGGAGCCATCAGAGAGGAAGACAAACCATGAGAGACTCTTAACTATACGAAACAAATAGGGTTGCTGGAGGGGACAGGGGTGGGCATTAAGGAGGGCATGTGATGTGATGAGCCCTGGGTGTTACACGCAACTGATGAATTACTGAACTCTACATCTGAAACTAATGTTGGCTAATTGAATTTAAATTTAAAAAAAAAACAAAACCTAATTTTTTATCCACCGCTCCTAACACAAGATTTTTTTCCCCCTCTATGCAACAATAGATCCCACCTATAACTGAATTCAGATGGGAAACATAAATATCCTAACAGAGATCTATTTAATCTATACATAAGAATGAAACTCTACATGAATAAGTACTGGTCAAAGTCTATCTGGTAGGGGAAAAAAAAATGACTGACGAGCCCTTTTCCTTGATACTACTAGACTACCACAAATTTTTTTTCACTTATTTCCATACCCTGAGTTTCCCTCCTCAATGATGGGTCATAAATGTTACTGAAAACACATGAAGACAGGGATGATGCTGAATGTATGTTAAAAATGCTTAACTGAGCAACACTTCCAATTCAACCATCTTTTGATGTGGCACCTTTGTCTCTTCAACCCCATCCTTCTATGTCAAGTAGAGTCTGAATTGTAGCAGCTTTCATTGTTTACGAAAATATGCCACTTACTAGGTCTGCTTTCATCCTTCATTCAAAACTTCTTCCAAATTTCTCACTTTCAAGAAAAACATTAAAAAGTAGTAGAAAATATAAAAGTAGAGACCTATCAATACTTTGCATTGGTGATCGATAAAAGAAATTTGACCTTAGAAGCAAGCTGAGCATGTTAGTGCTAATTGCTAAAACTGTGGTAGTGATTAGTCATGAACAAGGGCTGCTTACCAACCAACCAGCTTTAAAACCAGCTCACCCAGGAAGAGCTGGATGGACTGCAGAACTTTCAAGGGTCAGAGAACCATAGTTCTTGAGACAGAGTTGACAAAACAATTTGGGGGACTGATATAATGGTAAAGAACAGAGACTGTGAAACCAGACTGCCTGTGTTCAAATCCCAGCACTGCCCTGTACTTGTGGTGTGTCCTGAGCAAGTTCCTTGTCCTTTCTAGGCCTCAATTTTCTCATCTGAAATATGGAAACAATAATAATAGCACCAACCTCACAGGGCTTTTGCAAGGATTGTAGGAATTAACACACATAAAGCATTTCAAAAGTAAATGCAGTATCTGTATTAGCTATTATTAGGACTATGATGATGATGATGATTCCTCCCTCCAGAACTCATAAATTGGATAGAATATAAATCCAAGCTAGAATCCCTGTAAACATTCAAGAAAGAACTCTGACTTATCAGAAATGATTAAGAATTCTTAAATAGAAAAGAAGAAGTAATCCATGCAGGAAACCAGGAGAAAACAATCTGAGAAGGACAGATGGTTACAGAAGTCAAGTAATTACCACGTCAAAGTGGGTGACACTCATGTACTTTACTTATCTGTTGCTAGGTCCAGAACAGAATTTACAGACACTGACTTAAAAGGAATCATGTTAAAGCTTGAAGCCTAACCGGGAAAGAAAGAGAAGCCTCATGACAAAAGATGAGGATGACAGTAACAATGATAATAGCTAATAACATCCGACCACAGTTAAGTGCTTACCATACTCCAGACTCTGTGCCAAAGACTACATGCATGAAAACTGCATAACCCTATGGGGGGCATACTATATTAGAAAAAAGAGGTGTGGGCAGGTCAAGAAACTTAAGGTCACACAGCTAGTACCAACTAAAGCCAGGACTCAAACCATTTCTGACTACGAAGCTCATACTCTTTACCTTTTAAGATTTTATGCATTTATTTGAGAGAGTGAGAGAGCGAGCGAGCATGAGCGGGGGCTGAAGCAGAGAGGGAAGGAGAGGGACAAGCAGATTCCACACTGAGCACAGAGCTTATGCGGGGCTTAATCCCAGGACCCCGAGGATCATGACCTGAAGCAAAATCAAGAGTCAGACACTCAACTGACTGAGCGACCCAGGCACCCCCAAAGCTCATACTGTTAATACAATCCACACCTACAATGGATCCTAGGGACACTTTAAAATTCTAGTGAAACTCTGAGTAAGATGTTTTTGAAGGCATTCTCTAACCCGAATTTATTGGATGCACTCAGTCCCTTGGGAGTGCCTCTATTCATTCAGAAGCATAGGCTGAAAACTAAGGTGGCATTATGCTGAGAGCTGGGGATAAAAACAGAGATTCAATCTTTGCCCTAGATAAATGGCATCTACTCTACAAATTAGCAGAAATCATAAGCCATAGTAATATAAGCCAGACAAACCTGAATAGCTTTGTGTTTCAGCTGTTTGCAGAAAGCTCTCACATCAAATTCTGATGACTTTTCTGTAGAGATGGAGAGACCACAGATACAAAAACTTAGGCATACCATTTTCAAATCAATGAATTCTTAAGTATATGACATTTCTTGCCAAATTACTAGAAAAGAAATAAAGGGAATTATAAGAGTTTGCTATATAAAAGCAAATTACCTTTGAAGATTCTCTTATTCTGTACTGGCTGTCCAAGATCCACATTATTCTGTGTATTGATCCTCATTTGTTTAGCTTTTTTGGAAATTCTGAGTACAGTTTCTTTGCTAGACCTCGGTGATTGCTCTTTTGTTAAAAACAGCTTATTTAACAATTTAGTTACTCCTTTAGCTGCAAAAGCTGTAGGCACTTTTTTCTTAAAAACCTCAAAATAGGGCTGTCCTAAAAATTCAGCAATATCAGAAGGAAAAGTAAAATCTTTGAAGTAAGGCAGTGGTTGAATCCTAGAGACCTCTTGAAGCAATCTGAACAATGGCTCATATAAAGAAGTCAGCCTTTTCAAAACACCTTTATAGAGAACCCTAGAAAAAGAGAGGAGGTCATGAATTAGCCAGTAATTATAATTTGCAGATTATTTAATAACCACAACAGATTCAAAGCTGAAAATAAATGTCTATCTGTCTGCCACTACAGATAAAAAAGGCTCTAGCGCGGGCGCCTAGGTGGCTCAGTTGGTTAAGCGACTGCCTTCGGCTCAGGTCATGACCCCGGAGTCCTGGGATCGAGTCCCACATCGGGCTCCCTGCTCGGTGGGGAGTCTGCTTCTCCCTCTGACCCTACCGCCTCTCCTGTTCTCTCTGTCTCATTCTTTCTCTCTCAAATAAATAAATAAAAATCTTAAAAAAAAAACTTTATTAAAAAAAAAATGCTCTAGCACATATTTGTGAAGAGCCAGATTAGTCCAGCCCAAACAGAAAAATCCAAGTACAAAATGTTACTTAAAACTAAATAAAGTACTCCACGGGAAGATGTCTCAAGGATATGCATCAATATCTTATGTATAAGGTTTTGGCTACATGGTGAGATTTTAGGCAAGTTTCAGGTTCTTCATTATCTTCTCTGTTCTTTTGGAATGTCTTAAAATAAGCATGTAATATTGTTATAATCAGCAAAAATTAAAGCTCTTTTCATTCCAGAAAAGAATAATATGTGAGCTGTTAGTTAGTAATTCTAATGTTACCTCTAAGAATAAACAGAATAAACAAGATGATTGGAAATAGTACTTGAGAGACCCAGGGTAAGACATCAAAGACCTAACCATCAATACTTAGGTTCCCAGTCCACCACAAGTAAACTCCAATCAAGTGAAGAAATGGAACCCCTGCACCATCAGCATCCCACGGGAAAACAAATATGAAAACCTAGGCTGAGTTAGATGAAAAAGAAATGAAGGACTTCAAAAGTACATACATACATACCATAACCTGCTCACCAGCCCAACCATCACAAGGTTTAAAATAATGAATTCTTGTAAGCCAAGGTGTTTCACAGTCAAGCTGGAGAATCAAATTAAAGTTGGAAAACAAAACCAAAGTAATTTGGATTTTACAAGTTACATTTATGAAAGAAACAGATGGGAAACAATTTTCTTGAAGAAATTAAAGCTGTAAAACATTCTATTTCAATCATGGAAACAAAGTAATACGCACTCTGCTAGAGTTCTCATTAGTTAGCTTCTATGACTAAGAATTTCTGTCAGTGCCCTTAGGATAATACATGCTAGATGGAGACCAGCAGTCTCTGGCAATGGCTGTATCAGGCAATTCCTAGGAAAAGGAGGCCAAGAAGCAAAATTTTAAGAATACGTTATAACTTTTACAAATCTCCTAGCTTTCAAACAGTAATACTATTAAGTATATCCAAACAATTCCAATTCAGAGGAAAGAATTTCAGTTGATCAAGGATACAGAAATGTCTTGCAGCAACAGTCCAAGAAGCGAAGTAACAACTTGCAGGCTCCCAAAATCTTCATGAGCACCAGCTCAACCACCGGTTGGCTGGGAATGACACATGCTTTGGTAGTTACAGGCTGGTTTTCACTTCAAAAATGGAAAAAAATGTTATTTTCATTCTTAAAGTTCATTACTTATAAAGCACTTACACAGCAGTTTTCAAGCACAGATGAGCTGGAAGCCCAATCTGAAGTAGTTATGTTCAATAATAATTCGCTGGAGTTGATAGACAACAATGTTTCAATATAATCTATCTTGACCCAGATTTCAGTGTCATGCCAGTCCCTCCTACAAGCCACCAGAGGAAAGACTATCACAAATACCAGGTGCCCCGTATTAAAACAAAATTTGTAAAGCTCCTCAGTTGGGTTATATCCCAACACCAGGCAAAGAAAAGTCCAAAGAGAGATCACATTGAAGAGCATGAGTTCCCAGCCCACCACACAACCCATCACAAAGCAACTGGACCCACTTACTTGGAAGAAAACAACTCAGACAGATGTTGAATTGAACCCTCCAAATCCATGTTTTTCAAACGTTTTAAACATTGTTCAACCTGAAAGAGGGAAGAGCAGCTCAAATTCATATAATACAGACATGGCCACTGATAGGACCAGGAAAGCAAAGAAATGCAAAAGTTCAAAGTATGGAAATACACTCAACACAAGGGAATACCTCTGTTTTAGGGTAAAGTAATCTGTAGCTCAAAAGCAATTGCCCCTCCTTAAAGATTTGAAATTAACCCAGCCAAACAAATTTCTCAAATCAGGTTATAACTAGGAATTTACTATATGTCAGGATGTGCTTGATGCTATAAAGGGCACCGAACTAAGTATGAGATTATTCTCAAGATTTTTCTGAAGCAACACACTTTCTAATAATGAAACTATTAAAACAAGATAGTAAATTAATTAAGCGCTAAATTTCAGCAGTTTGTAAATGGCCACAGAAATGAGGGAAGTGATTGGTTTACTCACTTTACAAAAGTATACTGAACACCTACTATATGCAAGGCATGCTGGGAAATAAAATAGTATATAAGACACTTCCCATTCTCTTGTTGCTAAAAATCTAGTAGTAAAAATAAGAAGACATATAAAATTTTTAAATACTAAAATAAAAGATATATCCTATTTAAAATTGCAATCTGCTCAGCACCCCTCCCTTTCCTGCTTTATTTTTCTCCATGGCACTTATCACGATCTTACAGTCCATGTATTGATTGACTAATGGTCCTTCTCCTCTCAACTACAAAGGAAGCTCCATGAGGGCAATATATTTCATCTATTTTATCCGCCACTCTAACTCGGCACTTTGCAGTGTTAAGTAGGCACCCAACAGCATTTTTATTAAAAAAAAAAAAAAAGGTAAAAGCTATGCATTATACAAAATGTGGTAAGAATTCTGTAGTCCTCAGGAAATACCACATGAAGGGCACGCATGGAACTGCATCTAGACTTTGAAGGGTGTAATAATCTGGATTGGCACTGATACTGGCAAAGATAATATCTTGCTAAAGCTACATACATGCTACTAAAAATTCAAGTATCGATTCTATCATAACAGCATAGTTTTCAGAACAATGGAAGTAATAATCTTCAAATTCTCTGGGGTTAGCTCCTATCTTTTCAGTTTTTAATTCTGGACACTAGGAGAGAAGTACTGACAAACCAAGATGATAAAACACTTGGGAGGAACATAAGAACAGTCTTCATAACCCAAAGTATTCATATAGAGAAAGGAATCAAGACTATTTTCTGTGCTTTATGTATGGGAACATGAGAGGGAGGCTAATTCTAATACTTAGCTTTCTTTGAAGGGAGAAAAAAGTAGATGACAGTAGTGTGAACAGTGAAATGTTAAGCAGATAGAAGGCAGTAGTAGGAATGGAGATGGTAGTTGCAGCAGCATGAAACATGTTCCCTACTCGAAGGAACGGCAGGGGACATAAAACGTTACACAAATAACTGCCACATGCGGACCACGCTCAATACCATAATAGTACAAAGGGGAAGCCCAAATAGCCCACGGTCATAAAAAAAAGGAGTTCCACTACACTAATAATCAAAAAATGCAACTTAAAATGAGATTATCACAATATGCACTCATGCTACACCTTAGGAAGAAGTTTATCACTGCCAGACGGCTTGAAATGGGACTTGCAGGATGGGAAGACCTTTACCAGACAGAGATGGAGGGGCTGGGTATTCTAACCGTACAGGACCAGGTAAGCAAAAGTCAGGTGAGAGAACGAACGTGGTGAGCAGGGGGAATTGTGAAGAGTTCAGGTTGCTTGGAATATAAAATACATGAAGGTGAGAGCAAGCTAAGGAAAATTGAAAAGGCCAGATCTGGAGGATATTGTAAGCCAAGCTAAGAGGTTTCATCTTTATTCAGGAGACAATGGAGAACCATTAAAAATATCAAAGCCGAGTTTTAGGATGATTAACCTGGCTTTGGCATATAGGATATGCAAGAGTATAGGAAAGACTGGAGTTGAGGGAAGATCAATTAGGATAGCAAGACAACTAAAAGTTGACAAGTTCTGAAGAAAGAAGATGGAGCCAGAACTAAAAGGGTCTAGATATAAAGTTTTGACCGATCAATTGACTGAATGGGAGAGCTACATAAAAGGAAGAAGCAGAGAAAACAGAACACCAAATTTTTCTGATTAGATAATTATTCGTAACTTGGAAGCCAGGAAGAAAAATAGGTTCAATCTGATATGTTCAACTTGAAATACATTCAAGTTTGGTTTTGGAGTAAAAGACTCCTAAGGAGATAAAAAGCTGCCCCAGCAAAGAAAACTTAGGGAAAGAGCACGCTCCCAGATCTTTCTTTGATGAAGAAATCTCCATTCTTTTTGCCTTAAGTAATGGGAGTAGAAAATTAACCAGAGGGCACAAATCTGGAAAGTTAGAGAATTTGTCTGTTTCACCCCTGTATACTGAACACCACGCACAGTGCCTAGCACAGAGAAAGTTACAAAAAATACCTGCAGAATTAATAAGGTGAATGAATTTATGAGCTTACAAGGAACCCTAATAATCGCTAAACTAGAGGGCCCAATTTTGTCTTAAACTCTAAAAATTACAGGAAACCACTTTCCATAACTTGTTATACAGCCATTTAGTCTAATATATTACTGATTAGATTATATGCCCCACAATATATAAACCACAACTTTGTTCTTTTTATGATTTTAGGATTTTGATTATGCTCAGGAAATTGTTTCTTAATCCAATACTTCGTCTTGCTCAAATCACTGTATCTGTGAACTAGGCAAAAGTACTGTAATTAAAGATTATATATAATGGAAACTTCATAAAAATTACCCACTAGAAACAAGACTAGCAAAGAATTAAACACAGTTCCTTTCTAAATAAATTGCTTTTTGAAATGCTTTCAGGGGAAAAAAAAAATGAAAGCCCACATGCAACTGTGGACTGAGGATCTATTAAGTCACAAGTAACTGACTGAGTTTCCCATAATAACAAAATATTAAGTGGCAGTGTGATTTCATTTTCATCAAGCAAACATGTTGAGTGTAAACACAGGGCTTCCTCCTTACCTGTTTGAGGGCTAAGTGGGGCTTGTGGCGGCCCATTCTGTTGTGATTGCTGTAAAGGACTGCGCATAGCACATCTGTTTCTGCATCTAAGGTTTGGCTCTTCAGTGACAGTGTAACAAGACAGCATTCTCTAATTACGGCTGCAACACAAAGGTCTAAACCAGAGATATTTAATAAAACTTAATATGTATTTCTACATTAAACTTATTATGTAAAAATACCCGGAAGGAACATCTTTCCTTACTAAGGGGATTAAGAACAAATTCATATATCAGCTTTAACTATAAGAACATTAACAATTCTAAGTATGTGAAAAGATGGAAAATGGTGACCGAGGATATAAAGTTCAGAAATCACTAAGACAACATCTGTTAAACAATAACGTGTATCTTTGTATCACATTTTACTATGATTTTTAATAATCTTTCATATGACTACTTTGCAGTCATTTGGTGTACACTTAGGCCTAAGGACTTTGATGGCAGGGTACGTGTTCTATACTTCTCTAAATCCCCTATTTTGTTATGTACATAAGCAAGGCAGAATGGATAAACTCATACTCTTAAAAGCAAAGGTGCAATATGTGGGTACTACTTTCAGGTAAGAATATATTCAGATAAGAGAAACCACTGTGGCAACTGGAAGTTACATTATTTGCTGAATGCCTGACTGAACACAGGGCGCTCAGAACGAAGTAACACCTTCCTAGTCTGAAAAGCTGTGAAGCAAAAGGTGGAGTTAATGTGTGTCTCTGTGGTACTGAGGGTAGCACTAGCATCCCAGATGGATAGAATACAAAGGCAGATTCTACAGAACAGGGAGAACTTTATTTTGTCCCCAACTATATGAAGCCAGAATGGACTGCCTGGAGAATGGGGAGTTGCTGAATTTCCACGCCTGATAGAAATCCTGTTAAAGAATTTTTTAATAGAGAAAGAGGAAGATTAATCTATAAATTGCATAGGTTGTGTGGATGGTGAGGAGGATGGGATGATTAGATAGACTGTATTTCACATTAACTATCACTTGAGTGTTCATTTACCGTATCAGGCACTGTTCCAAATGCTTTCTAACAGTACCGCTTCCTCAAAACAGCCCTATGAGTCAGGTACTAGGTTTATCCGCATTTGAAAACGAGCTGAGGCACAGAAAGGTTAAATAACGACACCCCCCAACCTGCCCACCTCCAGCAGAGCTAAGTGCCAGGATTCAAACTCAATTTGGCTCCTGAAAACAACAGCAGGACCACGGAAAAAACACTTTAAGAGCACTCTCCCCTCATGACATCGTTAGATGCTCTCAACAACCGTGATAGGTAGGCAGCACTAACCCCGTTTTACAGATGAGGCACTGGAGGCCAGAAAGATTGCAGTATAAATACAGAGTGCCCCAGCGCCTTCCTAAAAGATCAGGAAACAGACGGCAGGGGGAACGGGGCTGCTGGCTGGCTGAGCGAGCACAGGGTTTCCAAGCAGCACTTCTCCCCGACGCTAGCTGCGTCTACCTCTCTCCGCCCCCTGGGCGCGGGGCTGGGCCTTGGGCATTCGTCGCTACAGCCAGGCCGTGCGGCAGGCACAGTGGGTTTAATGGAGGATTCCAAACCAAGCCAGTGTCCCCACAACATTCCCGGCAAGGTCGGGAGCCCAGGCGCCCTGGCCGGGTCCTACCCCACGCCCCTTCCCAGAGTCCCGCGGGCTCAGGAAGTCCCGCCCCCACCGCGCACATGCGCCGGCCCAGCCGGACACCGCCTCCGGAAGCGTCTGCCGTTCACCGGGCCCCTCACTCACCGAGAGCCGAGTCGGGGTCCTGCACGGTCACTGCGCTGCGGCTCCCCGCCTTCGGGATTCTCACGCGGTTCCACGGCTCCAGGCCCCGCAGCACCGTAGCCATCTTAGGAGGCCGGGGAGGGGCTGGGAAGGGCGGAGCTGGGCGAGACCTAATGAAGCGACCGAGGGAGGAGAGAAGAGAGGAAATCTAGGGGAGGAAGAGGGCAAGGGGTGGGACTGGGGCGGGGCCCGGAGGTGGGGGCGGGACCTTCCCGAATTGTGGACCAAATACAGTGGACTGGAGAGAATGGTCGTCCAGTCCCTGGTCACCAAAACCTGGCCGCGTATCAGAATCACTTGGGAGAGTCTGGGGTTGGGGGCTGGGGAAGTTCCATCCCAGTACTACTCAATCAGAATCAACAAAGGGGGGAGGAATCTGCATTGTGTTTAGGCTTCCACACAGGGAAGTTTGGAATTACTTCCAAGGCATTTTACAGATGTAAAAACTGAGGCTACCCATACACCCCCATCTCCGCGTCAGACATTAGAGGGAACGGAAGAAATTAAATAGAAGTTTATGAAAGGTGTGGCATTTGAAACACAGAAGAGGGGATTTACTTTATCCAAGACGGTCAAGGAAGTTTCCTCTACACCAACAGCAAAACCGCGATCACATCAAAGAAACTCGGAGGCCCTCTGACTTTCCATCAACCCCATCCTCTCTATCAGTGTTTAAGACATGACGGTATCTCAAGCTCTGCTGATCCTCACCTCATAATAACTTTCTAATAGATTCTTTATCTTCAGCCACACTGACGTGACCTTACTTGAGAAAGTCATCCACCGTAATGTATTAGAGAGGCAGTCCATGGGTTTTGGAGACAGACCACCAAGGTTCTAATTCTAGCTTTGCCGTTTACTAGCTCTATGACCTCAGGAAAGTTACGTAACTCCTCCAAACTTTAGTATCCTTATGGGTAAAATGAAAATTACAGTCTCTGCCTTAGGGTTGTAAAGTGCTTTAGAACAGTGCCTGGCATAGAAGCAGATATTTACGCTTACCAGAATTAATAGTGTTACTATTTCTACTGTTTAATACAGGTAACCTTGCCCTATTGAAACACTTGGCCATGCTTTTCCTACATGCCTTTGCAAATACTAATTCCTCCACTTGGATCATCCCTCAGAAACACTGTCGCTCAGCTCTGGTGTCATCACCTCTGGGTAGTTCTTCCTAAACATCCCATCCCCACTCCATAACTTGATAAAGAGATCCTTTTATATACTACCATAGTGTCTTGAATTGGCCTCTGTATTAGCTTCCTATTGCTGCTATAATAAATCATTATAAACTTAGTTGCTTAAAAGACTTACTGTATTTCTGGAGGTCAGAAATCCAAAATGGATCCCACTGGACTAATGTTGGCAGGGCTTCTGGAGGCTCTAGCAGAGAATACATTTACTTTTTCCAGTTTCTAAAGGCCACTTGCATTGCATTCCTTGGTTCATGTGTCCATCCTCCATTTTCAAAATCAGTAACATAGCATCTTTCAATCTCCCTCCACCTCTCTTTCTCGCATCCTTTTGCCTGTTTAGAAGGACCCTGGTGATTACATTGGGCCCACCAAAATAACCTGGTATAATCTCCCCATCTCAGAATCTCTAACTTTATTACATCTGCAAAAATTGTTTTGCAATTTAAGGAAACATAGTCACAGATTCTGGGGATTAAGATGTGGACATCTTTGAGGAGCCATTATTCAGTTACCGTAGACTCTCTCATAGAATTTACTTCACTGTATTGTATTTGTATGTCTTCAGTGGCATATGAGCTTACTGAAGGCAGTACTAACCAGTAGTATAGTTTACTGATCTTTATATCTTAATGCTTAACTCAGAGCCTGGCATATAGTAGGACCTCAATGCATTTTAATAACTTTATTGAGGTATAATTGCTATACAAAGAACCACACATATTTAATGTGTAAAATTTCACAGTTTGTCAATATTTACTGGTTGAATAAGAGACTAGATAATGCTTGAATAGAGTTTTTAAAAGATGATTAGGAATTTCTCAGGCAGATAAGGGAAGAAGGACATCCTTGACAGAAAGGTGTTAAACAACATGGGTTGGAAGAATCACTAGTCCTGGGTCAGTATTGCTGGAGCATGATATGTGCTGAGGGGTGAAGCTGGGAATGGTGGTGTCAGATCCTGGGCAGAACTTGGATTTTACCCTGAAGGCTGGTGGTTCCCCAAACTGGCTGATCATAATTAACCTGGATAGCTTTTTAAAAATAGAAATTAGCAGGCCCCACTTTGGAAATTCTTATTCATTAGGTAAGAGTAGGGCTCTAATCTTTTTTTTGAAAGCTCCTTGTGATGGTAGTTTTGATTGGGGAGCCCTTGCTGTAGGTGATAAAGGAGTCTCTGAGTCTTAGGCAGGACAGTTTTGGTCACTTTGCATCAAAGAGCACCCTGAAGAACAGATTTAAAGGAGATGAGACTGGACATAAGGAGGTAAAGGAATCTGTTGCAAACACTGAGGCAAGACATGATGATGGCCTGGATTCAAACACTGGCACTGAAGATGGATGGTAGAACCTATTAAATGTCTGGTATTTAGATACTTAGATGTCTAGCATGGCTTCCAGATTTTTGCTTTGAGTTTTCGATACAGGTTTCAGAAGTAGAACAGATTTAGGTAGGTGGCAGAGATAATGAAATAACTTTTGATATATGAGTTTGAGATCACCCATAGGCTGTCCACAAGAATATGGCCAATTCACCAGTTGAATAAATGGGACTATAGCTCAAAATGTGATTGCAAAGGGAGGGATGTAGAGATGGTGAATATAGGATAATATTTTTAGAAGCTTAGATAAGAAAGGGAGAGTTTAATTTGTAATAGGGTATTGTTTTGTTTCTCATTTTAAGGTAGTGTATCAGTCAGGGTTCCACCATTCAAACAGAATCAATAGGATATAGATATATAGATTTTTTTTTAAGGAATTTATTGAAAGAAATTGTGCTTGCACAATTGTGGGGTTTGGATAGTCAAGTTCGAAATCCATATGGCAACAAGAGCGGGCTGGAAACTCAGGCAGGAGCTTAAGCTACAGTCTATAGATAGGATTTCTTCCTCCTTCCTGTTTTCAGAGAAACCTCAGTTGTGTTTTTAAGACCTTCTAACTGATTGGATTGAAATTTCCCAGGATTATCTCCTTTACTTAAAGTCAACTGATTGTAGCTGACAATCCCATCTACAGAATACTTTCACACATCTAGACTACTGTTTGACTGAGTAACTGGGTACTATAGCCTAGCCCAATTGATACACAAAATTGACCATTATGGACAAGAAATGACTTGCTCACATATAGGCTAAAGGAAAGGAGCCAAAAGAGTTAGAGAAGCTAGCCATATCACAGAGATAGAGGGGAGAAGATTAATAGAACAAGACCCATTATTTATTCAATAAAGTTTTTGAGCATCAGTTGTTTGCCAGGCACCATACTAAATCCCAGAGGAGACAAACAAGGATGGGATCAAGTATTCAGGTAAAGAGGTTGACTTAAAGATCAAACAAGCCTTTTTTCTCCAAGCCAGGAAGAAAAATAAAAATAGCTTTAGAAATGGAGATGTTTAGGGTGGCGTACTAGGAGGATGAGGGACCCCAGGGCAAAAGCATCTGTGTAGTCTGTGGAGGAGGATTTGCGATCATTACCGAAAACAGAGGGCAGGGAAATGGAGTTGCAGGTGAGCATTGGATATTTGAAATCAGAGCTTCCTTGAACTGGGGGGTGTGGAAGAGGCAGGGGGTCTGTACATTAAACAGAAAGTAAGGGTTTAGGGCCATGCTTGGAAAATTTTAGACTCTGTAAAGAAAGACTGCCACAGACACAAATGACCATCAATTAAACAAAACCTTGGTCATCTCATTAGTAATCCAAGAAATGCTAATTAAAGTAATTTTCAGGTACTGTCAAATAGAGTAAAAAGAGTAAAAAAGCATGATGTCCCATGTTACTAGGGCTTTGTACAAAAATTTAGATACAAAGTTATCCTTTGTTGTCATAAAAATGGAAAATGATATAATACTTACATGATGAATCAGTTGGTTTCTAATATTTTGGCAGTTGAATTTTTTTTCCCCACAGAACTCAAATATATAAAACAAGTAAAAGTGGAATTGCAGTGATAGAGGTGTATGGTAGAATGCAGGGCCCTCCCATTAAGTGTTATAAGACACTTCCTAGGAACAGTTTTGAACCCACAGTTGTAAATAAATAAATATGTATGGATGTGAGCAATTTTTGATGATACGGTAAGGTGTTTTTTAAAGCAGCTTAGAAAACGGTATGTATAATGCGATTTCATGAAAAAAATACACACACATTGAGAAAAAGGTCTAAGAGGATCTAAATGGTGTTAACAATGATTATCTTTCCAGCAGTGGGATAGATCTTTTCTTCTTCTATGAGCTTATTTGTATTTTCTACTTAAAGGAAAGGAAAATAAGGAAAGAAATAAATATGTGTTAATATTGTAATGAGAAAAAATATTTTTAATGCCAAAATAGTATATGCCAAGGTCTTAGGATACGTGTGTGTATGTGTGTGTGTGTGTGTGTACGCGCTCATGCGCACACACACACGCTTATATTTAGAGACATATGCTTTCTACTATGCATCCTACTATGCCCTCTCAGCTTCAATCCTACCCTTCTATACTTTGCTCTGTGATGCTATGGCTGGGACAACGCAAAACCAAATCATCTTTGCCAGCTGGTAGTTACATCAACATGGACCACTAGAAGGAGGTTGGAAGGCAGGAAGAGGAGAAAAGGGACTTGTTCCTTCCTGTTTGCTCCCTTCTTTCTGACAGTATTGCTCAGCAACAGCTCTTTATCCTGGGTAATGGCAATTGGTTCTAGTCCCTGACTCTTTTGACACACTAGCAGAACTTGTTGACCCCTCAGAGGTAGTAGCAACACCTGGAAGGTGTTCTCTCCTGAAAGATCTTGGTCCCAATTCTGCAGATCCCTTCCTCCAAAAGTCTACATTCCGATAACCCCAAACTCTTACCCTTGTTTCTTCAGCTCCAGGACTTGTAACTGCTTTTGCATGTATG